CTACTAGGGGCTCCTGGCATCGCTACTAGGAGCAAAGGACGCTACTATAGGGGCTCCTAGCATCGCTTCTAGGAGCAACTTCAATTTCAGAGTACCGTGGTCACGTTCTTTCTGTCGAGACGCGCCCGGTACGAGGTCTTGCCTGCTCTGCAGGCGAAAAGGCGCAACAGGCCTTTTTAAGTCCGCGGACCCAATGCAGAGCGGGGCGCTTCTTTGGAGCATCAAGCTCAGTGAGTGCGCTCACATGGCGAACGATGCTCCAAAGAAGTATAAGGGGTCTCAAATTTTGAATTTAAGTCAACAGCTTCTCGGGGAGGCCGGTGTGAAGCGTACCAGCCCGAGAAGCTCAAACATGCTCTGGCCGAGGCACGCCGCACCCGGAAGGCTTCTCCGTCGCCAGACGTCAGCACGTTTGAAGCAGAAGTGTCCCGATCTCAACGTGCAGTCTTTGAAGTTGAATTTGCGCAACGCTTGGAACGATGAGGGCAGACGAATTCGAAAAGCAGATGAAGGCTGCGCTCGACCACGATCTGGACCGTGCTCAACAAGAGCGACAGGCGTTAGCGAGCAAAAGTGCAACCGACCATGAGTTAGAAGCGGGTCACTTCGCCGCAGGAGTTTGCCGCGCAGTTGCACCTGCAACCGGAAGAGGAGAGGGACTTGCACAGGGCCGAGCACTGTGCCGGTCCGGTTACAACACTTGTACCAGGACCAAATTTTGAGCGCTTTGAATAAAGTTTTAACCGAGCAGCAAACCATAGTTTTGGGCAAGGTGTGGCTGCCCAGGCCCACCATCCAGTTGTCCACGGGGGCTGGCGAAGCCCTCCGCCAAATGTGGGCCAAGCCAAGGGGAAGGGGGGAAGACGAGGTTGACCGCTGTCCCTTGGACGAGCTGGGCCGCCTCGTCAACCATCGCGTTTCGCCCCGTATTTTTTTGAAGAACGCCGACCTGTCCTGCGTGCTCGCGGCGGCGGCTGAGGGACGTTGGCGGAACGTGCCACTTGAATCCACTCGCATGCTGAAAGATAAATGTTTGCTTTTATTAAGCCTTGAGGCTTGACTAGACATTGCGCCGATTGAGAGCGGCTTGCGAGATAAACGCCCCATGTTGTGTGGCCAGGAAACAGAAGGCTTTTGAGTATACTATTGATAAGGCGGGTGATTTTGTTTCTTAGAGTAGGTTCGCCAATACAAACAACCCGCCGCATCGTCCCGAAGTGGATCCAGATCATCGGATGAACAAAGTTCGTTTGGGCTGCAAGTGTACGAGCCTTGTGGTTCCCCCCCCCGTGCACCGTCCAGCTGTCCTACCTTTCGCGCCTCCCTCTTCTCAAGTTAATAATGTCGAAAATGAATGTGAAAATATATGTTGAGCGATTCTGGAATCCAGCTCGGGTGGCCATTCAAAAAACAGATCTCTGGCCCATTCCTGTCCGAGCTCTCATCAACAACTGACTGTGTGTAGCGTGTTGCCTGTCAAAGCCGGAGAAGATATCCAATTGGCACTGCTAGGGGCTTTCATACAGCCACTTTTGGTGATGTTTAGGGACTTTTAGGAGGGTCATGGTTTGGGAAACCGCCCATGAGAAGATGAAGCTGGTGGAGGTCCGCACTCAATGATTGTCGTTGTTTCCTTTGACTGAATGTGTTTGTGGCACCAAGTGGCAGGCCATACCATACCCAGAAAGGATCAAACCCTGGGAGTCCACTCAACAGATGGCAATTTTTCAAAATTGTTTGGCACACGGCGACCCGATCAAACTGGAACAGACTTGCGGGTGCCAGACATGTAGCCGAACTCGACTTCTAGGGCAAAGACTTTGCAAATACCTAGAACCTGAGTGACCTTTATTTTGGACCACCAACCACTCAAAATATGGTTTGTTCATGTTTGTTCAATGTTTTTCGATTGTTTTAAATCAAGACAGAGGTCAACTGGGTTCCAAGGATGTTTATTGTACCAGGGCCCCCCTAAGGGTGGTTAATGGACACCCTTTAACCTCTAATCACGGGGACCTGGGGGGGGCTGAGGGGGTGGCTCTGGTGCTTAGGGTTTGTCTTTCGACTGGGCTCTGATAGTGAGGGTCATTTTTAAGCTGCTAAAAGCATCTATTTAGCCTCCAATAGGCTTCTGCCCCACAAGGTTAAGGATCTAATAGGGTCTTATCCAAAAGCCTTTAATAGAGGCTTATTAACCTTGGATGGACTCAGAATAGGCTATCCAAATGAGACCACCCAATCCCAATCAAAGTTTTCATCCCTTGGCTTCGCTCGATTTGGCAGCCGTTCAGCAGCCCCCGGTTCCAAACAGCCGATTAAGGGCTTCATCAATCATTACATTTACGGTAACGCTTTTTAAATATATGGTGGCCTGGCCAGAGCAATCGGCTCCGGAGGTAGTATAAAATACCTGTTCCCACCAAGACATCAAGACCGGACCACCAAGGCCACCGACCACCACCAACACCGCCACAATCACCACCAAGACCACGGAGACCACCAAGACCGGACCACCAAGACCACCAAGGCCACCAGCACCCTCAAGACCACCAAGAGTAGACTGCCACAATCACCACCAAGACCACCGGGACCACCGAGACCACCGACCACCAAGTCACCAACCACCGAGCACCAC